CACCACGGAGGTGCTATATGAGTAGGGGTCTCCATCTATGCTAATCAGTCCATGTGGCTGAAAGGGAGGCGAGCACCGAGCAAGAAAGGGGTTCCTTCCTCGGGGTGCCCACACCAACCTGAGCACGGCTCGGGCACCCCGTCTATGGCACCTTGGGTAGGATCTGGCCTCTGGTGCCCGCCAGACCCCTGAACAGGGCAAGCCACCCTCCTCAGCGGACCCGGCTCCCTCCCTACAGGTCCCCGCACGCCCGGCGGCCTCCCTGCATACAGGAGGGAGGAGGGACGCCATCGCTCCCGGGATCCCCGCCTTCAAGCCGGGCCACAGGCACACCCGGTCGGCAGAGGCGGACGACGACGCCTGGCTCCGCCCTGAGGCTGTTCGCCCGGCCTGGCCCGCCGCCCCGCACGCCCCCCGTGCGGCCCTCCCGCGCCCGGCGCCGGAAGCTGCAGCCTGCGGGCCGGAAGCTGCGGCCTGGGGCCGGCCCCCGCCTCGAGCAACCAAGGGCCGCGAGGCCCGCGCGGGGCCCGGGAGCGACCATCGTGTCCCCGGGGAGCCCTCGGCGCCCTGGCCTGGCCGACGACCCGCTCCCGCCAGCTGAGCAGCAGCCCGCGGTCACGGGGATCTCACTTACGAGAGCTATGGTCGCCGTCGCCATCTTGCGCCCGTCGCGGCCGCTGGCGCGCCAGACGCTCCTGCTCCCTCCGCGGTCTCGCGCGATCTGGGCGTCTGGGAAGGCGCCGGGAAAAGGACGGAACTCTCGCGATAAAAGGCCCTTTCGCCAGCGACGTGGAAGGGGAGAGGAACGCTCTTCCGGTGCAGGAAGGGACAGTTAACGCCGCGAGAGGGCGGGGCGGAAGGGGCGGGGCCGGGGCGCGTGTGGTCGTCCGGGCCTCGGCTACCCCCGCGGCCCGCCCTCCGCGGACGAAGACCCTGCAGCCTGAGTATCCGGGGTCAGCCCCTCGCCTCGCCTCCTGGCCCGCTCCGGCCGCCGCTCCTTTTTTCCGCCTCCTTTACGGAAGAACCGGTGCCGTCGCCGCACTCCGCCCAGAGGCAGGCGGAGGCCGGCGGGCCCCGGGCTGAACCCCACCGCGCGAACGGCAGGGTTGAGGGGGTGACGAAGAAGCACCGTGTGTCAGTCGGGTTGGAGACGCTCTTCTCTGCGTCGGAACGCCTCCGGGGCCTAATGAGCCTCCCGAGAGATGGTGTGCCTCACAGAATCGGCAGCCTTCTCTCCTTCCTGGCGGTCCGTGAAACTGTCGTGCGTCAAAACCCAAGGCGTCGTGGATTCGGTCACCTGCAGTCGGTAGCACTGCGACCCAGGACACGGGCCATGAACCGGTGGGTGGGAAGGGTGTGCCCCGGGTCGCCTTGGTCCCCGGACTGTTTTCAGAGGCCGCCGGCTCCATCCGCGAGCCGCGCAGTCCGCAGGCCGTGACTCGGTGAAGACGGCGCGGCGCAGGGCCTGAGCTCGGCCGCGTCGCTGCGGCCTGCCGGAGGCGGCGAGGGGCCTTCCCCGGCTGGGCAGGTCTCCTCAGCCCTGGGAGAGTTGAAAATGAAATGTAGGCACCGCCACTGACACGTGGCAGAATGTTTTTCTCATTTCCCTCCCCTCTAAAACGACACGAAAAGGATTTTATAAAGGCAAAAACCCATAAAGACAGAGTGGAATGTGAAGCTGGAGGAAGGTGTGCGGTGGCAGCTGCTTTAGCCCGCTGGAGGTCAGCGTCCCAGAGATAGTGCGTGATAGTGCAGTTACAAAAAGGAGATCGCACATCTGTCCCTACCGGCGGTGCCTTGGAGGTGAGCGCCGGCCGAGGGGCTCTGAGGGCCGTGGTGGGGCAGGGTCCTGTTCTGAAAGTGGGGAGGGAGTAAGTGAAACTCCTGTCCTATCCCCCACCTTCTCCCCTGGCTCTGAGTCTGGCCTCGAACATGTGCCACCCACTATCCTCAGAGAGGACAGCTCCTCTCTGCAGCAGCTCCAGCTCAAAGGAAAAGACTGGCAGATAGATCCCTGGCCTCAAGGTTCACGGAGCAATAAGCCCCACCACTAAGATCATCTCGCTTTTAAATGCACCTGAGGAAGAGGAAAAAAACGGAAAAGGAAAAGGGACTCAGAAGGAACAGAAACAATAAAGCAAGCAGAAGAAGGAAAAAAAGCTAAACCCATATCCTCAGAGATGTTAGAGAAGATGATGTACCCAAAAACAAGAACAAGAGGGTATAAAGAACATTCAGCAAATGAAAAATAGCACTTACAACTGAAAAATATGAGAGGAAAATGAACAGTTCAATAGAAGGTTTGAAAGATTGAGTTGAAATCTTTCAGAATGTCTAACAACAAAACCAGATAGCTAAAAAACAGAAAATGTAATCATAATCACACTGGTCAGTACTCTTCAGTGCTTAGAACTGGGCTGGCACCTCAGAGGCCTCTGTAATAGAGGGGGATGGATGAAGGGGTGGGTGGGCTGGGACTTTGCCACCGCTCCCGGGGAGGGGGACAGAAGCACCACCTTCTGGTGGCAGCTTCGCCTGTGAACTTTGACATTGATGTATAATATGGCATTCAGAGTGCTTGTGTGCTGGGTGCTGTTCTCATTTCATTACACACATGAAGTTGTGCAGTCCTTAGAACAGCCCCATGGAGTGGGCACTGTTGTTATCCCCATTTTTACAGATGAGGAAGTAGAGGCACAGACCCATGTCACGCAGCAGGAGACGGCAGAATGGCTCCAAAGCCTATGCCCTTAACCACCATATATTATGCCTCTCGAAAGATAAATCTAACATCTAAGTAATAAGCATTCCAGAAAATAAGCAGATGGGAGAAGTCAACAAAAAAACAAAGAAAATTTCCTAGAATTGAAGGGTCTGGATCTCTGGACAATAGATGAAAGAGAAGGTCTATATCAGGACACATCATTGAGAATTTCCAAAGCATTGGTGCAAAGAGAAGATTGTCAGAGAAAGAGAGAAGAAATCACAGACAAAGGGTCAGAATTTAGAAAGGCATGGAAATTCTCAGAACTAGAAGAAAGTAACATGGTACCCTCAAAATCCTGGGACGAAATAATTCCCAACCTAACCAAACTTTTGTACCTAGTAATGGTAACAAACAGATGTGAGAGTAGAATAAGAAAACAGGCTAAGACTCCATAACTCCCCATGCACCCTCTCAGGAAACTTGGAGGTTGTTCCTCCTCAAACAGAGGGCGAATGAGGAAAGTGTGGGATCCAGAGACAAGAGAAAGGAGGTGCTCCAGGATGCTGGTGAAGGAGTAACTCATGCTGACAGCTGGGCCACAGGCCCAAGAACAAGCAGCCTGGGGCAGACAGTGGGCATGGTGGGGGCTCTAGGAAAAGATTAAACTGAATAGTCAATTGTGCAAGGAATCTCAAGTATTGAGAGGACGTTCACACTTCTGCAAGAGACTCTAAGGATGAATTAATGAGAAATGTATAGAAAACTAAGCAAATTAAAAAAAAGCAATTATTAACCCCAGGAAAAACAAAAAGTTGTGCAAGAAAGCAAATATAATTCTAGGACACCTTGTTCTCTGCTGAGACCTGTGGTGATGAAGCTATAATACCCTTCACACTGGGATGATGCTAGGTCAAGGGATTGAGACCAGTGACTCCCCTTCCCCCAGAGGATGCCAGCAGGGGACACCTAATGTACAAAAACCAATAAAAAGGAGTAAAAGCATGTATGTCGTTTTGTGAAACATGAATTTTAAGTGCCTGAAGAAACAGCTAAGAGAGTTGCATTTGGAAAGGATCAGGGTTGGAGACTGTATTTATTATTTATTTATTATTGGCCTAAAAAAATTCATTCCACTTTTAAAATAATATGTATACCCCTTTGAAAAGATAAAAGTTAAAATGAAAACCTCAATGTAGGCACAATTAAATGAAGCAATGGTGGTATCCACAATTTTGAGTTCAGTTTAATCATTGGTACACAATCTGTTATGCATTTGACACGAAACTGTTTAAGACGATGCAGAATCAGACATCTTAGCATCAGGATTTCCAGCTAGACATGTAAGTTATTTTAGATTTGTAATTTTAAGTTGAAAAGTGTAAGAATTTGAATAATTTTGTAAAGAGTACTGGGATGTTTAAGATAACTTGAGATTCACTATATTTTTACATTTAATTTATTAGATATGTGTTGGTAAATTTGTTTTGTTTTGGTTTTTGGTTAGGGTGGTGTGGTAGGTGGGATAATGACCCCCCCCTGCAATAGATGTCCATGACCTAACCCTCCGATCCTGTGAATGTTACTTTGCGTGGCAAAAGGTATTCTGCAGATGTGATTAAGGACCTTGATACGGGGAGATTGTCCTGGATTATCCGGGTGGACCTAACCTAATCATGAAGCTTTCTGGGCTGCAGAAAGCCAGACAGATGGTTCATAAGAAAGACAACCCAACGTTGCTGGCTTTGAAGATGGAGGATGGGGCCATGACCCAAGGAATGCAGCAGCCTCTAGAAGCTGAGAACAGCCTTCAGTTTATAGCAGGCAAGAAAATGGGGACCTCAGCTCTACCACTGCAAGGAAATGAATTCCTGCCCAGCGCCCAGCACCCTGCCTCACACCTGCAGGCCAACAACCTGAAGGAGCAGGAAACGGTTCTCCCCTAGAACCTCCAGGAAGGAATGCAGCCCTGCTGACACCTTGATTTTAGCCTGGTGAGACCTGTACCAGACTTCCAACCTACAGAACTGTAAGTCTGTGTTGTTTTAAGCCAATAAGTTGGTGGGAAATTCTTATAGCAGCAACAGAGAACTAATACAGTGGTGAGATTTCCTGGTTTGACATTTGAAATGCTTAAAAAGAAACCTGAAGGCACTAAATTTATACATGCAATTTAAAGTGTTCAAGAGTGTTTAACTAAATTTGAAAATGGAGGAGAGGTGATCCAAGAGAATCAAGGACGGGGGGGGGGGGGGGGGAAGGGAGTTGAGTGGGAGAGACAGGGACCCCAGGAGGCAGCTGCCACGGGGAGGTGAGGGAGGGGATGCGGGAGGTGGTGAGTTTGAGAGGAGGCGCAGTGAGGAGCAGGGTGGACACCTGACCCCGACCTCTCCAGCCCAGGGGATGCAGGAGAGAACATAGCCCTTTGGAGGGGGTGGCAGGGGCCAGAAGAGTGTCTGCAGAGGAGGCAGCAGGTCCTGGTCTCAGAGCAGCAGAAAGTCAGAGAGGGGCTCCAGAGCAGGTCTGCATTGGATGGAGGGTGGGGTGAAAGAGCCACATGGAGCTGGGAACTTGAGCTTCTTGGACTCTTGTCTCTGCTGCCTGCTTCTCCCGCCAGGTCAGGGGCCTGCCCAGCACCCAGCGCCATGCCTGACACCTGCAGATGCTTCACCACTGGCATGAGGTGGGGGTTCCTTGTGTGGATCTGTGGTACCAACCCAGGATGGAGCATTTCCCTGGGCAGACATCTGTCCTGGGCTGACTCCCATGTCCCAGCACCGTGGCTCCCTGCCAGGCCGCCTCCCCCATGCTGAGGGCTCAGTCACTGACCAGATAGCTTGGGGGGGTAGGCAGGGGGGACTCTTGGCCAGGAAATGGAGGATATGGGAAGGGATGCTGAGTTGTGGAAGCAGGCTGGGTGGGGGAATCCTGATCCTAAGGACATAGGGCATAACCACTCCCCCCACCCCCACCCCAGGGCTCCTCCGAAGCTGTGGAAGCAGAGGTTCCTCACTAGCAGGCCTCTGGTCATTAGCCCCTAGGCATGCAGGCAGAAGGCGGCCCCTGGTTCTCCCACCCCGGGCCAATGCTGAGCTTCCCCCTGTGGGCAGGCACGGCTGGTCTCCAGGGGCTGGGGTGCGGTCAAGGCTGAGCTCCGCGGTACTTGAGGAAGGTGCTCTCCAGGAAGGCGGCCAGCTTCGTCCGGTCGTCCTGCAGGGCAAGAGGGAGGCGTGGGGCAACGGAAGGGCGTGGCCCACCCTACATGCCCTCCCGGCCCAGCTGCCCGGCCCGCACACCTCATGGACGAAGCCGTAGTGCACGAGCTCCGCGGCGAGGTCCTGGGCGCTGTCGGCTGCAGCATGAGGGTGAGGTGTGAGGCCACTGCCCACGCCCGCACCCGCGCCCGCCCAGGTCCCCACCCCGCCTACTTGGGAGCAGGTCGTAAGTGAGCTGCCGGTGCAGCCGGTCCTCCATCACCAGAAGCAGAGTGAGCTGAGGATGCAGGAGGGCGCGGTTAGGCTCCCAGAGTCCGCTCTGCCCCTGTTACCTCCCCCCCTTCCCCATGCCACACCTGTGTCGCCCCAGACCCCAGCCCTGCTCACATGCCAGGGCGCCTTGTCCTCGCTTCTCTCCAGGTTACACTGCATCTGGATCACCTGGGATTGGGGGGCGGGGGGCAAGGTCACCACAAAGGCTCGAACTCAGCAACTAAGCAGCAAGAACAGATGCCACCTCAAAGGGGCCCAGAAGGGACAGTAAGGATTGGAAATGGGAAAATTCTCTACAGGAGAGGCTAGAAAGCACATCTCACTGCTACAGCCTGGCGAGTTAAGCAAAACTTCCAGAAGAGTAGACATTGAGTCTGGGTACTGAAGGATGAATAGGAGTTTTCACAGGTGGAGAGAACACCTGAACAAAGAGGGAGCTGTGGGAAGCAGTGCGGGGGTGGGGGGCTGTCAGCAGGGACACATGGGATGCCAGCAGGACTGGGCCTCAGAGCACCTCGGTCAGGCTGAGGACCACACCATCTCTGTGGGCCACTGTGGCTGTTAGGACATGAATTCTGGCTGCACTGTGGAGGGGAGCCAGGAGGAAGGCGGCCAGGCTGGGGAATGGAGGTGGCCCCGATTAGGGTGGTGACCATGGAGACATACTCAAGGCTGAAACCAAAGCCTCTGGAACCCAGTGGGTGTGGACGTGGAAAGGGAGAGAAAGGGGCTGAGGCTGATTGGCCAGGAGGGAGCCTTGCAGGAGAAGAGGTTGGGGAAGCACAGTGGCTGGGGGCCTTGGAGGAGACACGAGGACACAAACGTCAGGGAATCAGCAAGCCGAGGGGGTGGGATCAGAGAGGGCTGGGGGTAGATGAGAGTGCAAGATGAAGGCTGCTTGGAGCAGGGTGGGGTCAGGGGGCCAGCGTGTACGGTGGAAGCAGCAAGGGATGGGGGAGGGGTCTGCAGGGGGCAGGAGCCTCTGGGAAATGGGGTATCCCAGCTTGTCCTACTGCCTCCCAACTCCCACAGAGTGGTCAGCCAGGACCTGGTCTCTGGCAGCCTGGAGGAGGGCTGGGCTGGGGGGACTCGAAGCCCCTGAGAAAGGCACCCCCCTGGGCAGTGGGACAGGCCTGAGATCTGGCACGGTGCAACAGAAGTGGGGGCTCACCTTTCTGGTCTCTGAGTCAAAGGGTTCTGGTGTTGGGGTCTTGGCCTTCTGGGCCTCCTCGGGGAGTGGGGCCAGCACACGGGGCAGCCCCAGGGGCCGAGCAGCAGCAAAGTTCATCAGAGGGTAGATCCCATTCCTGGGGACACACCAGGGGTGGCTGGGGGCTCAGGCCTGGCAGCCGCCTGTTCCCCAACTTCACGCCAGCTCTCACCTGACATCCTCCAGGAATTTGTCCAGCTCCAAGCAGGAGACCTCTGAGTACCTAGCATGGGTGCGAGAAGCCCATGAGGGGTGGCCAGCCAGCTTGCCCTCCCAGTGGGGCATGACTGGGTGGGGGCTGGCCAGGCAGAGAAGGGAGGCCTCCAGGTGGCAGGCCACTCACCGCCACTGCCGCGGGGGCCGGGGGATCTCTGCCAGGACTGCCTGCAAGTCCAACGCTTTGGTCTTTTCCTCCACCACATTCTCAGGCATGAGGTCTGCAGGCCACAGGAGCACTCAGGGTGGTGGACCCTGAGTCACGGGTTCTGGAGGGCCCCCTTCCACATCCCAACTCCAGGCCCTCGGCCCACCCCTGGGCTGGCCTGACCCTCACACTGGTGCTGGATGAAGCAGTGAGCTGCCAGGAGCTTCAGTGAGTGCACTTCGAAGAGCACGCGGTGGAACAGAAGGTTGTGAGCAGAGGGCCGGCGGGCGGGGTCCCGGGCCAGGCAGGAGAGGATGAACTCCTGGGGTTGTAGAGAGGAGAGGCTGCAGTGGGCGGAGTGTCTCTGCTCTGGCCCCACAGTATGAGGAGATGAGGCCCCTGAAGTCCCCGGACCCCAAGGGTCCAATCTCCGTGGGAGCGTTCATGCAGGAATGCATGTAGGGAGACGCATCCTGTTAGCAGCCAGGCCAGGACCTGATCCTACAAACAGGAGTCAGGCCCTGGGCTCAGAACTTCCCATGCTCTATTTCCATAACCGTCACAAAAATCGTGGGGAGTAGGCGTTGTCACCCCCAATTCACAGATGAAGCCTGCACTGCTGAGGGAGGACACTAGCCCCTGCCCTGCAGCCCTGGGGCCGGCAGAGTGCCCGCAGATCAGCCCAGGCCCCTGGAGACCAGTGCGGGCCAGCCTAAACCCCAGCCTGCCCCTCTCCTGGTTGCCTCAGCTCAGGCCTTGCTTCAGAGATGATCTCAATGGGCCCCTGCCCGGCCCCACATCCATGCCCTCCACTGCCCCTCATGTCTAGTCTGGCTCCACCTCCCCACCAGCCCCATCGGGCCCCATCACTTCCCTCCCTTGCTCCCCTGAGGCCATGTGGTTAAGCCAGACAGTCGCTAGACTCTGGCCAGAGAGGCTGTGGATGCAGCTTCTGCCCCACACTCCCTTGGCCTGTCCCCCACCCACCATGCTCCCCACACAGCGGGGCCACATCTCTTCTAGCCTGTCTCCAGGAGGCTTAAAGGCGGGGATGTGGAGTCGGGCAGACCCGGGTGCAAATACTGGCTCCACCACTTCCTCTAAAGCCTTGGGTGAAGTGCTTAGCCTCCCTGAGCCTCGGTTTCTTTATCTATAAAATGGGCATAACAATAGTGCCCACAGAGGGAGTAGCTCTCTCGTCTCCCTGTCCTTAGAATGTGCCTTGAGGGGCCGGCCCGGTGGAATAGCAGTTAAGTGCATGCGCTCTGCTGTTGGCGGCCAGGTTCAGATCCTGGGCGCGCACCGACACACCACTTGTCAAACCATGCTGTGGCGGCATCCCATATAAAGTAGAGGAAGATGGGCATGGATGTTAGCCGAGAGCCAGTCTTCCTCAGCAAAAAGAGGAGGATTGGCAGATGTTAGCTCAGGGGTGATCTTCCTCACACACAAAAAAAATGTGCCTTGAGAGCCTTCAGGCCTTGAACTCAACATGCGGTCTAGCTAAGGTGCTCCTTGCGGGTGGTCCCTTGTGCAGCAGGGCTGACACACCCCTCAGTGGCACTGACCCGCTGCACCTCCAGACCTGCCCAGAGCAACTCACTGGCCCTACATGGAGCATCGAGAGCCAGCCAGGAGGGGCAGGGCAAGCTGCTTACCCGCATGTTGGGGTCACTTAGCGAGTGCCTGGCCCGAGCAATGGCCTCCTCTGTGACCCGGGTGTCCCCGTTGGCTTGGATCTCCAGCACAGCCATCTGGGGAGCAGGGCCAGGTCAGGCATGGGAGGGGACAGTACAGGTGAGATGGAAGGGAGCTAGCTGGGAGGTGGCCAGGTGGCCGTAGGGCTAGTACCTCCAGTGCACACATCCCAAAGGAAAAGATGTCCACAGCAGTGCCATCAGCAACCTCTGAAAGGGGGAGAGCAAGTCAGAGCGGGTAGGGCAGCTGCCGAGCGCGCGAGCACTGAGAAGCCCTCCGGGACTCACCGCCGTACTCTGGCGGGAAGAAGTGCAGGTTCCGCGGTTCCTCGCGCTCCGCGCGGATGGGGCTTCGAAGATCGTCCGGAAGTGCTATGGAAAGCGCCAGCGATGAGCGGACTGCACCTCTCCAGGGCCCTCCATCCCCCCAGGGGCCCCACGCACCATTGGAGAAGATGCGGTGCCACACTGCGCCGGCCACCGCGGGTAGAAAGAGCGGGCGTCAACGTGATGGGGCATTGGGGGCCCTCGGTTCCCGGCAGGTACCCCAGCCCCGCCCCCCTGCCCCACCCCGCCCCGCCAGCACCAGAGCCGATCTTGATGAGGCCGTTGTGCTGTATGAAGATGGTATCACTGGTCAGGTTCCCGTGGATGATGGGGGGACTGCAGGCATGCAGAAAGCTGCGGGAGTGGTGGGGGGAGAGCAGGCAGAGCAGGGTCAGGGGGCGCCGGGGAGGTGGGGGCGCGGCAGGGCGGCGCGCGGGCAAGCCCAGGCCCTCACCTGAGCGCGGACAGGATCTGCGTGCACCAGCGCTTCCAGGCCTGGCGGCGGACGGACTCCGTCGGACCGGCACGGGAGAGGCGGCTGGGCTTGCGGTGCCCACCCGGAACCCCCGCCTCGGCCCAACCCCTTTCCTGTTCCTGAAGCCACCCGGTGCCCCCACACCATCGCTGTCTTTGACAGCCTCTAACCCCTTCCTGTCTCCTACATCGCGCCAGCCCACTCCCCATACCCGGGCGTTCATGGCTTTGTGGTTCTTCTTGGTCTTTTTGAGGAATTGCTTGAGGCTGCCCGAGGACACATACTCTGTGATGAAGATGACCTGTGGAGCGGGAAGGCTCGCGGCTCGGCCAACGGTGGGTGGGTTTCCACAGCTGCCCCACGAGCTGGGGGCCTCACCCCTTCCCTGGTGTGCCCCTGGCTCACCCGCGCATGGGCCTCAGAGGCATCCAGCCAGTACTTGTGCAGCTTGACGATGTTAGGGTGGTCCACTAGGGCCAGCTGCTCAAACATGGTCTGGATCTTCTCCTGGGAAGGGGGGGCCAGTCACGGGGTGGTCATGGGGTGGGGCAAGGGGGGGGTGCAGTGGACCTCACCTCGTGCGCGGCAAAGGCCTTCCTGTCGCCGAAGTGCAACTCATTCCAAACCACCTCCACCCCCTCCTCCGTGTCCATGGCCAGGAAGGTGCTCTGGACCCCTGGCATGTTCCCCTGGTTCACCTGGGGGTGGGGGTGGGGGCTATGAGTGTTCTGGTATGTGTCAGGGGAGAGAGTGGGGGCTTGGTCTCTGCCCACACCCTTTCTGCAGACCCAAGCGTGGGATGCAGGCCCTGGCCAGCTCTAGGGCGAAGCTGGGGGCCTGGAGGAGGACTGGCCCCCACGAACCAAGGAGTGGTATCCAGGGCTGGGCTTAGGGGATTTGGAGCAGTTTCAGGGGTTTGAAGATGGTCCCCAGAGGGCTAGCGGCTGGTCCCAGAGGCATGAGGAGGCGGTCCTTGGAGGATACTGGACCTTAGGGAATTGGGGGTTCCTCATCAGCGCGTGGGGGCCAGGCCAAAGGGGGCCAAGGGCCGGCCAAGAAGGGAGCCACCTGCGCGAGGCCGCGGAGAGGTTTCCGGCCTCCCGGCTCCTCCAACACCCCCACGCCTCGCGTGGCCACCATGGCCCCTCCACCCGAGGTGGGCGCGACACCTCCCCCCCAGCCCCACCGTGCCCACCTGCTCCCGCCGCTTCTGCCAGCGGCCGCACGGGCTCTCCTCCAGGATGTCGCTCTCGTCCTCGCTCTCGTCCTCCCGCTCCCGCTCCCGGCCCCGCCTCGGCGCCGGCTCCGGGG